CAGGAATTGCTATAGGTGTAGGGCCTGATCTTATCTCTTGTCTGGGTACTGCAAGAGGCATGCATGGCTTCTTGTCCTGCTTATAAGGTATCCAGTACCAGGAATAACTAGGTTGGAGACTGTATTGTGTTTACGTGGTAAGGTTTTGGTAGGGGGGAGCTACAGAGATGGCTTCTGTGAGAAGATGCCAGAAGCCTTCCCCATGTCCAACAGAGCCAGTTCCAGCTGGCTCCAAGACAGAGCCACCAGTGGCCAAGGCTGAGCCCATGAGCAACGGTGGTAACACCTCTGTGAAGGGTACTAAGAAGGGGTAAAAACTGCCGCACAACAGCAGCCAGGAGAGAGGAGTGAGACTATGTGAGAGAAACAACTATGCAGACACCAAGGTCATTGAAGAAGGAGGGGCAGAAAGTGCTCCAGGCACCACAGCAGAGATTCCCCTGCAGCCCGTGGTGAAGACAGGTGAAGCCACAGTGAGGCAGGCTGTCCATAGTGGAGCAGATATCCACCTGCAGCCTGTGGAGGACCCCACACCAGAGCAGGTGGATGTGCCCCAAAGGAGGCTGTGACCCTGTGGAGACCCCATGCTGGAGCAGGCTCCTGGCAGGACCTGTGGCCCCGTTGAGAGGAGGCCACGCTGGAGCAGGTCTTCTGGCAGGACCTGTGACCCCATGGGGGACCCACGCTGGAACAGTCTGGTCCTGAAGAACTGCACTCCATGGAAAGGACCCACGCTGGAGCTGAACTGCTCCAGCGTGGCCTCCTCTCACTGCAGCCCGTGGGAAGTGCAGCCCTGAAGCACTGCAGCCCGTGGGAAGGACCCACGTTGGAGAAGTTCGTGGAGGACTGTCTCCTGTGGGAGGGACCCCATGCTAGAGCAGGGGAAGAGTGTGAGGAGGAAGGAGCAGCAGAAACCGCATAGTGAACTAACTGCAACCCCCATTCCCTGTCCCCCTGCGCTGCTTGAGGGGAGGAGGTAGAGAATTTGGGAGTGAAGTTGAGCCTGGGAAGAAGGGAGTATCTCAGCAAGCCGGTCACTCTTCCAAAAATGCCACACACTAACACAATTCTTCTACAACGTAAAGCCTTTCATAACTCTATTCCAGGCTCATGGGAGTTAATATGGTCCCTGACAGGTTTTAGCACGTGTTGTTACTGTCTGCTAAAACATAAGGACTTTAACAGAATTGCATTTATAATTTGCTTTATGATTGTTTTCTTTTAAAGTCAATCCTCCCCCCACAAGCTCTGACACTGTCATTAACATCTGCCAGTATGCCTGACAGATGTCAGAGCCAAGGCCAGCCTCTTCTACACAAGATCTAAAACTGCAAGATGAAAAATAGTGCCATATGGCATTACTGACCTACAATCTCAATGAGCAAAGCAAGAATGACTCCATCTCTGAGATCTTGTCTCAGGTCTTGGACTGGCTTTATTGTTGGCTTCTTCTTCAGCTGGGAATTCACCCAGGCCACATATGCCTGTAGCTGTTGCTGAAAATAGAAAACAATGTTTGCACGTCATTGCCATTTCAGAGGGAAGTTGCATAGCTCTCACTTTTCTCTCATCTTCACAGATCTCATTGTCTTTTAGCCTTGAAAACAAACACAAATGGTCTCATCCCAAAGCCTGCTGAGCACTAACTGACATCACTGCACACTGTGGTGCAGCTCACGCCACGCCAGGACAGGAAGAGCAAGCAGGCAGCAGGACAGGACTCATGATCTAAGCACAGCTGAGAAGAGAGCTTTACATTACATTTAATCTAGGTTGGTGCCAAACCAGTGCTGTCATTCCTCATTTTTGGTGCCAGAGTTGGTTCACTCACAGCATTTACTGTCCCATCCACACTATTTTCTTCCACATATCAAGAAAGTAGAAAACCCACAATGCAGAAGCAAGAAACACTGTGTTGAACTATGCCAACTACTGAAAGAAACAATCCAGGACAGATTTCCTGGAAGAAACAACAGCCTCCCTCCTTAACACTCCCAGCATGGCTCATTTGTAACAGCTCATGCAACAGGGAAGAGACACCCTGTTGTACGGCCCCCTTCCTCCATTTCCTTGGAGGTGCATCAGCATTTCTAATGGCCCAATTTCTATTTCTGTACATGTGGAAGCTGGCTTGCCGCAGCACTTAACACCTGCAAGACCTGAGAGCAAGGAGAACTGCCTTTCCAGCTGGTCATGCTGGATGCTGCTTCGTATAGCTGTGCGTGTTGCCACAAGGGGAAGACCACGGAAATTGAAACTCAGGCTTCTGGTCTATGTGAGGACCCATCTGGCATAAGTGACTGAAAGGCAAAGAGCAGATTCACATGACCTTTCCCTTTCCATCGCCCAGTCAGTAGCACTTCCATGGCTAGTAGGAGTGCTGGTAACACTGAAATCCCTTTGGGCAGGGCTGGTGTGGTACATGGAGGGTAAACAAACTGATCCATTTATGGGATTACCTCCCTTTTCACAAAGCTTCCCGTTATTCTGCCAATGCAGCAGGTTTTAAGTCTCCATTCCATATTATCTCAGCAATGTCAGGCAGAGTTTATGCTTTTACAGCCCATCAAAGTCACAATCTGATCACAGCTTCAGTCTTAATTATCCTGACACAGGAAATCCAACTTTAATCACACCATGGTTCGGTCTGCTGGTTCAGAAAGGTGACTGGACCTGTGTTCAATCAGTTCCACTCACTCAGCAGAGAGCTGGAGAGCAGAACAGGAGATGAGTTTGGGGGACTGCCTGATGGCTTTTGAAAAAAAGGAAGCAGAAGTGGCAGATCTGATGCATGCTTGCTGGAGCAGACTTGGCCTGCCATGTGGATTGGATCTGCATGCTCTTCTTTAGCTGTGATGGCAATGACGCATGTCAGTTTTGCCTGCCCAATTTCAGAGGTCTTTATTTTCTACTTAATGCAATGGGGCACTGTGGAGAATCAACGAGCCTTGACACTCTCTCTCACACACACAAGTTGATGATCCTGTGCTGATTTTCAGAACAGCAGTGGTAACTTGCCAGCTGCAAAAAACACCCCCACCTCTTGCAATTATATTTTAACTGATCGTGTGGGCACTGAGGTTTCAGTCTCACAACAGACTAATGCCAGAGTGACCACAAGCCTTCTATTACACAGATTCAATAAAGCTTTAATTTATTCAAACAAGTACCAAATAAAAGAGGCAGGTTTGTTTATAGTAATACCACATCATTATAGAAATACCTAGATTCATAAATAAAGATGTACCGAATAGGGTTGCAGCATGAAAACGGCATCTGAAGTCTATGTAATTTAGGGAAATAATCTTATCACAGTTGTGTTTACTACCTTGTTGTCATTTTTCAAATCATTTTACAAAGTTCTAAACTGTTATATTGTACTGATTCCACAAGGCCACAGCCCCTTCCAGCCTACAGAAAATTTGCAATTTTTATAGGAGCCTATATGGTTCTTCCATTCAGACACTTCTGTTTTCACTCAAAGGAAAAATAGACCTTTTCACTAAGCAGTTTGCTTTCTATTTCTTTTCTCTGAACTAATTCATGGCATCTATTCTGGAAAGTACTCCAGGTATCATCTTCCAGCACAGAGAAAACAAAGATTTGCTAGGATGTACTCTGCTGTAAGAACAGCAGCTCTACACAGCCTATTCCACCCAACAAAAATACTCCCTACCCTGTGCTTGTCATTTGCCTACAGAAATACTCACACCAAAAACACATGTTCCATCACCATTTGTGGCTGCAGGCATCCCAGCTCAAACAATACACAGCCCCATCCAGTCTCACATAGGTCTCAGCTCCTCTTAGTCAACAAGACTCCAAGGAGGAGATAAAGGAGGTTGGGAACAAACAAGGAGGTGGATGGTATCTCAAAAGTATTCCTCCTTCCCTTTTCCAAGGCTGTCCCCCTTGTGCTTTCACGCCGCTTCCTGACAACAGAGTAGGATATTACATTTTGTGCCTTCTAAATAATTAGCAAAAAGAGGCACTAACCACGGAGGCAGAGCAAACAGAGGAACACAACCCAGACTGAGTAAAGGATGCAGAGTGAGCCTTTGTGCCTAGGGGGCTGGACCCAGTAGTCCCCCAAAACTGCTCAGGTCCCCTGCTCTGACAGCTACTCAAATTCTTAGCACTCTTCTTGTTTAACTTTTGTCTTTCTAGTTGAGGAGAAAGATCCTGTGGGACCTATCACACCAATTCCTGTGATGCTGTAACTACGCTACTACAGCTTCCTACAAAATCTCCAAACTTCACAGGATTGAACAAACCCCTACAGCTTCCCCTTGTTGGTTTATAACCTGGTATGGCTGACAGCTACATCCAAGAGCAATCAGTGAGGGAACAGCTATTGTTCTACCTAGCTCACCCTCTTCCTTCATAATAATTGAATAATTAGCTGAATAATTCTTCCTTCAACCAATGACCACTCAGGAGTTTTCTACTTCTCCCTGCATTTTGGTTTGAGCTTCTGTTCAGCCAAATCTTAGACTTGATGGGACTTACACTGTTCTACTCCTGCTCCAATGTGTCTTTCAAAACCAGGATTTTCAGAAGAAAAACATATCAGCCTACTCTAAGATTTACTATGCAGAGCACACGTTATTAGGATTATGGTGGAGTTAAGCTTAATCCTATTTATGTTAACACAGCTTTGTGTTCCAAAAAAAGGCCAAGTTTACCTGTACCTTGCAATGGGAAGCTCCCTTACCTGAAGGAAGTTGGAGCCCAGATTGCTTCAGCTCCTAGGCAGATCATTATAGGGTGTTTATATCCAAGTCACTCTGGAAGACTTAAAAGACTTCACAGGGCAGGAGAAGATTTCTAAAGCAAGGTACTCGGGGCCACCTGCAGTTGTAAAGAATTTCCCAACTTGCAGGCACTTCTACTGGCAAATTACAGGTTAGCACTTCAGTAAGCACAACACATCTCAGAGCAGGATTTTACTTTGGATCACTTATTCAGCACATACCCTGAAGAAGTGCCTCAGACCTACTGGCTATAGGAAAACAGCTGGAGAGGTCAGGAGCATATATCTTTGTGCTTTCAATTGACAGCCAATGATATGCAGGAGGAAAATGTCCTTCCAGGGTCAGCACATTTTTCTCAGCAGCTGTAAACCCTTACTGATAATTACAATTAAGTGTCATTATCTAGTATTTTCCACAGGTAGAAGAAAAGCAGCAGCTCTATCACAAATCTCCTGCCAGGTGTAGGTGCCCTTGCTATTCTCATTTAACCAGTGCAATTCACCACCTGCTGCTTAGGGCTCATGTTTCTCCCCTCTCAACCATCAATCAGTCCAGTCTGCCTGACAGTAAATATAGGTAGATCACAATGCCTTGATATGCTACTCTGTCCTTTATTAACAGTGCCATCTACACTACACTGTATAAGGTTAATTTTCACCTCCGCTGAGGTTAGGGTATTGCACATTTTGAAGTTGGCCAAATCTTCACTCTTGGACAAAATCATTCTTTAGCAGGCAGATGCCTTCAGAGGGACTGACCTCCTTGCTATCATGTTACAGTGGACTCCCAGGACACTCTCTGCTTCTAGGAAGAGATTACTTTTCTGAGTTCATTTCATAAACTTGAACCCATCTTTATTGTTGCATTTAGGGAATCGGCCTGGGAGAATAATGTTTCTCATGATCTTTACTCTGCTTTTCCTTTATACCCTATGGACACTGCCCAAGCACCAGGTCTAACAAGGTCAATAATAATAGACCTCATGCTATGAGGTTGGTCACAGTATGAAAAGCATTTAGTGTCCTGTCTGTCCAGAGCACTGAACCAAATGTCTGCAAGAGCAAAACTCAAAAGGCTAACCTAATTGCACCAGGATGTAATGTTTAAGGCCTTGTATGATTTCTAAGCTTTCTGACATTACCTTAATTAGATGGGAACTGTAATTTTCCATCCAGTGTTCCTCCAGTTTGATTTTGTTTTTGTCTGAGAAGGCCTTTGTACAAGCAGAAAATAAAAACTCACAAGCAAAGAAAATGTTTCTCTCTGCTCTCAAAGCCAGCAGAAGTGTTTTTTTTTTCCTCAAAATTGCTACTTAAATGTGATTCAGGCTGTTTAATGCATTGAGATAGCTCCTGATGCATCCAACAGTGAAAACCACCCAATTATGACCAGACTGATGCTAGAACAACCATATGCACCCCACAGGACTCCTCTTTCATAAAACTCTTACTTTAAAGCAGGAGGTGTAATTTCACTCAAAATAACTTTTGGTCTGATGTGTATTTTCCAAATCTTCTATAAACAGCCTGTCTCAAGCACAGAAGGTGCCTCAGTGCAGCGACACAGTTTGGAAAAGGAGGCACCTACGCAATCTGGTGCACACCAGGAGACAGAAACAGTGTGGGAGCTGCAAAAGACCAGGAGCTCCTTAACCCTTCACCCGTATCTGAGTGAAAACATGGACATTTCTAACACCCTAACGTGTCTGGACAAGGATTTTTCACTGACTTGCTGAGACCCAG